TTAGTTCATGCAGTGTTATACATCAATATTTATAGACAAAGAATCTTTAAACCTTTTAAAAGAACTTTAAGGAAATTAGCGGACAAAAAAGTACCTCTTTTTAAGAAAAGACGGCTTTTGGTTCAAAAAGGTGACGGTTTCATATCTTTCCTGATTCCTGCAGCAATCAGTGTCTTATCCTCTCTTATCCATGGAAGACAGTAAGAAATTCGCCCTGGTACCCCTAGATCGTATGCATCAGTTTGAAGATGAACATTTGAGTGATTTAGATACACAAATTCAAAACATCTTAAAAAAGAAAATGAAGAAAAGTGCAAATTGTACATCCAAGTTCTTCCAAAATATGTTACGTTTCCTCATGTGAAAGCGTCTAAAAAAAAAAAAAAAAACCGCCTGAACAGCTTTCTGAGACAGATGTAGAAATGGAAATTATGCAGACTGTTCCTGTGAAACAGAAAAGAACGGCTCTGAAAATAAGAGATTTTCTAAAAGAACATCAGATTTCCTGGACACACAATAAAGAACTGATTCTGGAAGGTCATATGTTTCTGGGTCCAACATTGTTCAACTGATAAACTTTCTCTTGAGATATAAAACTCAAAGACCGTTTGCTTTTGAAGAGTTTAAAAATGTACTCAATGTGAATAATTTTCCTTAAGACTTAGTGAAAAACAAGCATTTGATCAATTTAAAAACTATGTATGCTAAACCTAAAACAAAACTATGGCTGAAATTGTAATGAAAATAAATAATAAAATTTAATAACTGATTATTTGTGTTATGTTTTTTCTTTGATAATGTTAACCTGATTATTCTTTGATAATAAAAAAATAAATAATTAAATCTAATTTTTCTTTGATAAAGTTAACCTGATTTCCTAATTAAACTAATTTTTGAATACATAAGCATTATTTTCTAAAAAAGTTATTAAATAAACTTACCTTTTATGAAATAGTTTAAAAAAGAACAACACTATAATTTTCAAACTTCTGTTTATTTATTTCTAAATACGTCTTTACACGTAAATGCATAATTGTGCATATCATCTTTTTACATACAAACGTTTTTGTACATACCATCTTTTTCAATAATAAAACTTTTCATACATTGCAAAATCCTTTTTTTTTCCTTATATAATGTGATACTATAGAAGGTTCTTAAAATCCATAGGGCAGTGTGGTCAAGTCTTTTTGGATCACCCGTTTGTCCAGCGCAACTTTGTACATTTTTGTCTCCTTTTTGTTGACCACTTTTCTTCTCTTCACTTCTGGGGTGATTCAGGAAGGATTATGGAGAAGGATACTTTCATTATCATCCAGACTGCAGACCAAGCGTTTCATAGCTTCAAAATTTTTAACAGCTGGGAATTTCGGAAGTTCAACGAAAATCCTCTGACTTTGCAGCAGGCTTTCCCAGTGGCCGTCTGGTACGCATAGTTTTTTGGTCCTCCTGAAAAAATAAAACATCATGAGAAAAAGACATAACAGAAAAACATGCATTAAACATGTTTTTGGTACATATTAAATAAAGAATTTTTTAAAGTTCCTTACCTGACATGAAGGTTTTGATGACATCTCCATCTAGTAGTTCGTTGGTAAATTCTTCTAGGAAGTTACCTAAGGGAGGATCATTGCGACCATTGGTAGCGTAGATTATGGAATCTGTGTCGTGATACAGGACGTCTCGACCCAGCTTCTCCATTAAGGGGTGAATGACATCACCGTCATAGCTCGAACTACACCCATGGAAGAAACAGCCCTAAAATAATACAAATCCATTATTAGTGTTCAACATGTAAATTAAACATTAAAAGTGTAAAATCATTCAAAAGAATCTCATACAAAAAGAATGGGTATATTTTCTTACCTGAAACTGATAGACGGTTTGCGTTTCTTCGCAGAAACCCTCTACCGAGATTCCGGCGATTCTGTGCTCTGCGAAACTGTTCAAAGCATGTTGAATGGCAATTCCTTTCGAAGCAGCAACAAAGTCCAAGCACCGGATAGAATCAGGGCTGTAATTAGTGGAGTTCACATATCCGTGTGTGGGTACTATGGCAATCGTGTTAGGCTGAATGTGGCCACTCCGATACGTTGCCATACAGGCTGAGGCAATGGTCACGTATCTGAAAAGAAAAGAACAACTTCATGAGCCACTAAACATGATTATTTTATAAGAACATAACTGTAAACATAATGATTATTGTATAAAAGAATTAAGAAAATGACTTACCGGAATGAATCCACACCCGCCACATCCAAAATCTGGTCTCGAAACTCCAGGCAACAGCGACAAATATCCCCGTCCGATCTAACAAAAAAAAAAAAAAAAAATTAAATATACGAAACATGAAATATAAGAATGAAACAAGAAGGTGGGGGAAAATACACCTGCAATAGGCCAGTATCTCTGTTTGAAAATCAAATATGTCCCCCTTGTGTTCTTCGTACCAAGACATATGAAAGCTTGTCGGGCTGATGTACTCATGGTATCCGGGCTGTAGTACCGGGCTCAGGCAGCGGTCCGACATAACTCTGGTTTTCTCGAGTTGAAAAGATGAGGGAAGTATCCCTTTTTCAACTCGCTGAGACCGAAGCATCCCGGTAGTTTGGCCAACGCCATCGGTAAAAAGTTTAACGAGTCTATGACCCGAATGTTCAGACTAGGGTGTCTTAAACACATGATCATAGACCCGTTAGGGATCACCTCCGGGGCTGTGCCTTGCTCCAGGAGCCAGGCCATTACGAACTGACCGTCGAACCTGTAAGTAAAAAAAATATATATATTATCAGTATTGAAAAAGTAGTCGTGTAAACTAAACCATGCAAACTAAAGTATTTTTAACTTACCCTTTCATGTTGTGTGCCACGGCGGTGTAGCTTTTATGCTGTGGCGTGAACAGCCAGGCACAGAAATCTCGGCTCGCCTCATAGCCCGGAAACACTTTCTCAGTGCCGTCGGCATACTGAGCCACCGCGAAATTTACGAGATGCTCCCCGAAGACTGGTCCGTTTCAAAGTCAAAGAAAATGAACTTGTCATCAGACTTCTTCGGGGCAACACGTCGCAAATAACAACGGTGCTCAGCAGCCACCACAAATTGGCCGCAAGACGGACACTTGGTGGTTCCACATATGTGAAGCTCTTTAGGGCACTTACGGCGTTCAGTCACTTGGCAGCATTCCCTGCACAGGTATACCAGTAACGACAATTAAATTTTTTTAAAACATAACAATTTCGAGAAAATTATATGATAAATAACTTTGTTCATTAAGATACATTTTCAAAACACTTACCCTGTCGCAAAGTGAAAACTCTTGGTTTCCAGTGAGAGCTTTGTGTGCTGCACAACTGGCATCACAGCGGCAGAGACGGTCACAATCCTGACATCGTTGGGGCTGGCCCGGAAAGCAGTCGGTTCCCAAGCATATGGGACAGGCATTGGGCACATCGGTGTTCTTTAACGCGCCGATAGGTCTTCACACACTGATAGGTTCTCACAGGTCTTGCAATAATATTTGCTGCCAAAAAACCCTTTGAGGGATTTGATCACATCGTAATGCCCATCGTGGAGCCATCAATTGATCTGTTGAGCCCTTTCTCTTCTTTTATAGACCACCTAAAATAGAGTAAGACAAAAAAAAGTTTCTCTTAAAAATATGAGGGCTATTTTTTTTTCAACCTACGATAGGCTATAAAGAAAAAATGGGTGAATACACAAAAAAGATTTTATTACCAAAAGTAATGTACAATACAGGTTATTTTTCTATATAATCACCTTGATGATTGAGGCATTTGTCATATCTGTGAACAGCTTTCAACCTCTCATGAAATGTCCCCGCCAATGATGGAAGTGAGTTGTGCGTTTCTTTCAGTACACGTCATCTTGAGCGCGTCCCCAAGCGACTTCTTCAGTTCGGGAAAAGGAAAGTCACCGCGCTAACGGGGACATATGGTGGATTTCGAAAATGTCCATTGAATTGAGGAAGAAGCCGTGGGTTCCGAGCGTGTGCTGACGGCATTGTCGTGGTCAGAAAAATTCCAGAAGTCGCAGCCTTTCGTTTGTTTTGCATAGCTCTCCGCCGCGTCGCAAAGTTTCACATATGAATCGCTTATGTTGTCCAGTTATAAACTCACAGCAAACAACTTTTTTGGTCCTAAAAAACAGTTGCCATAAACCCAGGTTGTAAAGTTCGTTTGAATTTTGTGGGTCTATTTGAGAATTTGTGTGCATCCATAGTTGTGATTGTCGTTTCGTTTAGGACGTGTCTATTAACCAGGTCTTATCACCGTCACATGGATTCAAAACCCTTCTCGCATATTGTAACCGTCAATAAACTCAAACGCTGCAACCATCGGCGAGTTTGTGTCGTCAGTAAATCTGTGGGACCGCGAGCGCAACTTTCTGTACAACTGTTCAGTAACGATAGAGACAGGAAGTCTTGAAAATTCCGAAAATTTCATCGATAATTCACTTATGGGGAACCTCGATTTTGCTTAACCGTTGATCAACTCGTTCAACAATGTCGTCTGTAGCGACAGCAGGCTGCTTTGACCCCCCTTTCATGCACATCAGTTCGCCTCTTTAAATTTCCACACCATCACGAACAACGCCAACACTCCAAAGCTTTTCACCTAACTCGCTCTTTTCATGGATTTCCGTGCACGGTTCCCTTCTCCTGCAAAAAAACGAATAACAGCTGCATCAACTGCGGGAGATCATAGCGAAGCTATTTTACGTGACTGAAACTCACAGAAATGGCGTGTTGAATACGCCAGTGACAAAACGTGTGGAGGGGGAGATGCGCAGTCGCCTACTACGCACACCAACCACCTACCACATACCTGACCATCATACTGTGCGATCGGAGGTTGAAAAAAAAAACAGCCTACGTAAAATCCAAAATCGAACCGTTTAGAAATCAGTTTTTAACATCTAATTACATATATAAAACCATCTAAAACTTCCACGGCGCATTGAACATGGAAACGATTTGCATACATGCATGCATTTTATGTGTAAATGCATTTTATGCATTCAATATTTTCTAGTTGTTAACATCTAAATGCTCAGAAATATATGCCTAAATGTTAAATTAATCATTTCGCAAATTATATTTTTAACATAGGAACAAATTGTCTTCGTGCATACATGTAAATAAAATCTGAAAAGTTAAAGTAATCAAAAAAATTCATCGTGAATTCAATTTTATAAGTTAAAGTTTTTAACATCGAAACGAACTGTATATATGCATAAAGTTAATTTAAACATTCAGCGCGCACTTAATTATTCCAACTTATATTTTTAACTTCGAAAAAATGTTTCTATAAAAATAAATTCCAAATTCTATTATCGAAAAATCTAAAATCTTTCAGCTTTTTACCCATTAACATAGAAGCGAATTGCATACATGCATAAAGTTAATTTAAAATTTCTGCGTGCATTTTCACAAGATATAATTTTAACATGGAAACATAATAATCCTAAATTATAATGCTAGTCATCTTGATTTTCAGTTCGTTAGAAACTGATTTTAAAATTTATTTTTAAAAATTGTACCAAAATAAATTTTTCACCATAAATATAGTATGGAACCACAATAATACAAAATGAAACTAAAATCAAAGTTACGATTTTAAAAAAGGCCCCAAAAATGTAGAAAAGATCTCAGGTAATTATCAAAGCATAAAAAACAAATTTGAAGACAGAAATATCTGGAGACAAAAATTAACTTACCTGGTTCAAATTTTCCGAAGAGAAGACTGCAATTTGGACATCCAAGTGGGCTTCAAATCTAGAAATTTCAGTAAACGTGCATGGACCTACGGGAACATTCGCAGCCATATAGAGCTCTTTTGCTCGCTTCACGAGGGCTGGCCGACGGCGATCTTGCATGGTTTTAATGGCAGTTGTATCTTTATGCAAATGTGCCAAAGCATACACAATCGCCTTAGCACAGCACAGTCCTTCGTCGTCGTAGGGAATGGACAAAACAGATTTTTTATTTAGTCTGTCCATGGAGATGTTAAAGACTCTTTTGATGTTTCTTCCGGCACCCACAGGTCGTCTAATAGTGATCACGTCCACCGAGAACCCTGTATCCAGCTCGATCTTGTCTTTGGACTGCAACACTTTCATGACGGCAGCCAAAATTTTTCAACTGTAAGGGTGGAAACTACCATCAGGTACGTGCTAATCGATTTATCCAATCCTTCTGCCTGGATGCAAAACCGGATGAGGTCTGATGGGCCCAGATTAGCTGTAGTTCGACGAATGAGCTGCTCAAACAATTCCCGGACGATATCTGGAATTCGGACCATCGGGATGCCTTGTACATCCTGAGGCAGTCGTTCCATATCTATACTGGCCCGGAAGGTAATTTCCTGGTTGCTACTTGTGGTTCGGCGATGAGGCTTTTCTGTGAGAATAATCGCCTCATCGATCGGAAAGTAAAAATAAGATCAGTTTTCGTAATAATCAAACTTTTCAAAAAAGACATTCTGTAAAAGAAAATACACGCCGAGTTCATCGACCAGCAATATATAGGGCCTTGAGCTGATGACAGAAGTCAAAAAATAAATACTTCATTTTAGTAATAAAAAAAAAAATTCTAATAGAATCTAAAAATGCTGATACTTAATTATATTTACTCGAATCCGGAACCCATTGATAATACAAGGGCGAACCGGGGATTTCCATGAATATTTGATCCACTTCATCTAATAACTAAAATAAAAGTGATCATCAAAATAAAATATGGATATAATGGTAAAACACTTCCATAGAAATAAATACGCTACGAAAATACGTGTAAAAATTACGTCATCCGAATCACGAAAGGACAATCCTCAAATAACAACCTAAAATTAAAATTTTTAATATACACCTTCAAAAATTCGTGTTTAAAAATAGTAATCTAAAACCAAATAGAAGCGAAAATATACTTACATTAGATGCAGAATAAACAGGCTTGGTAGACATCTTGTAGATAAAATGGCGCAAGAGAAAATCACACAAAGCAAGATAACGTTTACTCAGCAACAACCAGAGTAGAAATGATTGCAATCGTCAACGCAAGCGAATATGTAGGCGATGTACAAAGAAACAAATACTCTGATTGGCGGAAATAAGATATTGTTAGCGAGAATCTGATTGGTCGTTTAAGATTGTATACATTCGCCATGGCGGACGTAGAAAGCATGAAGTGGTTTCGGTACGCTGCGTTGTGAAAAAGATGACGTTTGTCTGTTTCCCTCAGCCTCGTGACGTCATGGTTGTTTTTCTACTCAACGCGATAATGTGACTTTGCTTGAAAGGTCTCGCTGGCATAGTGGTTTGCGCAATCGCCTTCCATAACTAAAAGTTGCGAGTTCGAATCCCGCTCGTTGAGTTATTTTTAAAATTCAGGGAAAATAATATTAAATTCAATAAAATTTAATTAAAGGTAATAATTAAAATAATGACGTACTAAATAATTAAGACACTTATTAATAAGAGGAAATGAATAAAATTGATGACATACAAAATAGTATTAATATTAATCAATATCAAACTAATATTACACGTGTCATATTAAAAATAATAAATTTAAAGAGAAGTCATTCCAATCACGTGGTTCAAGAGCTTGTTGCCACAAAACCTAAAGGTATATATTCGATGCCACAGAAAATAAAAACTTTGAAAAATCGGGTCGTTGCCACAGAATAAAAACGAAACTATGCATGACGTCATTCGGTCCACGTCATCCCATCCATCTACGTCACTTCCGGTTGTCACGTGATCCAAGATGGTGGCGATCACGCCCCTTTTCGGTGACGTCACTTCCGCCTACCGGTTACGGTGGGTTACTACTAACAGTAAATCGTACCAAAAAACCAGTGATACTAAAAATTTATAGTCTTTCATTGCATTTCCCAGAGATTCTGTTTTGCTTTTAATTTGTGAATCTTCGGAAATGTCTGATATTTATGCCGAAAACAAAACATATAGGCGTTGAAGAATACCAAAGAAGGTTAAAGCTTCTGGGCAAATTTTTCCCACATCTTCCAAAAGCAATTTGCTTTAAATTTCGAATTTTTTTTGTTCATTTTGATGGTATCGCGGGGCCCTTTCAAATGCGGGCCCGGTTGCTCCAATCGCCCTTTATCCGGCCCTGTATACGAAATGCTGAATATTGTAGATACTATCGCAATCTTCACATTGGATTTTGCCTTATTGTAAAATATATTGTATTATAAAGATTAAACCAAAGTAAATTACTGTGTTAGAGTAATAAGATGTGAATGTTCTAACTGGATTTTCTTTTTATCACTTATTTATTTCTGCTTTCAAAACACATTCATTATAAAGATTAAACCAAAGTAAATTACTTAGTTAGAGTAACAAGATGTGAATGTTCTAACTGGAGGTTCTTTTTATCACTTATTATTTATTTCTGCTTTCAAAACACATTCATATTTGGCAAAAATTCATCTCCGCTAGTAGGTCTAATATGATTGGCTTATTTTAACGAACTTCCCCAACTTTCGGATGAAGGTAGGCTTACCGTAAGGATCACTCTGGCGATTGCTGTGATTAATGCCAATTTAACCGTCAAATAACTCATGAAATTAGCGTCCGGCTAATGAATAAAAGATCGTTATTTACGCGCGTGTCGTGAATAGTCGTCTTCGTCGA